GTGTCCATGAGTGTGTGTGATGTCATAACCACCTGCAGGCATGTGGGGTCCTTGCTCACGGCTGTGGTCCATGTCCCCTGTAGGGTTGTGTTGGTTTATTTCCCCCCACATAGCATCCTGTGTGGGGCTGGCCCGTGGGTCATCCGTCTGCTCTGCTCTCAGTGGACATTTTGGGTTCCTTCTGGCTTTGGGCTGTTACCTGTCCAGGTCTTTTGGTAACTTGTAATCCCATTTATTTAGGTGCTAAGTACAAAATAGTACTAAATGCTAAACAAATACTCTGTGCTAAATACTAAATAAAAACCTACGTATTTCCTGAAATGTTTAGGAGCAGAATTGCTGGGTCACGAGCAGGTGTGCTTCCAGTGTTATTAAAAACTCCCCAAACTCCCCCAAGTACTGGGCTACGTTGCATCCCCACCAACCACATTGGAGAGTTCTTGCTTCACATTGTTGTCAGCCTTGGATGAGTCAGCCCTTAATTTTAGCCGTTTTGTGGGTGGGAAGCGGCAGGACACCTTGGCTTTGCTTAGCGTCTCTGATGGCTCATGATGCCGAGCACCTTTCCGTGGACCTGTCGGCCACGCACATACACATCTTTTGTGAAGTGCCTGTTCCCCTTTGCTGCCTGTTTTTTTTTTTTTTTTTTAATTGGGTGGTTTGCTTTTTGCTGTTGATTTGTTGGAGTTCTTTAGAGATCCTGCCTGTGAGCTCTGTTGGATGTATGTAACTTGATTTTTTCCCCCTTAAATTGCAGTATGATCAACCATTCCGTGGAAAAAATTTAGCAACAAAAGAGAAAAAGGATTCGTCTTGCATGATTTCGGTTCTCTGAAATGTGCTGAGGCTTGTACGTTGTGATGCAAGTCCTGGTGTGTGTGGGCCAGGGGCGTTGGTGCCCCGTGTCCCCGAGGGACAGGTGCTCTGTGTGCCTTGCTGAGTGTGGTGTTCCGTGGATACACCCTCAGTCATTTCTACTCACATCTGCATCTGTGCTTGCTCTGTCTCACTGTCCCAGCCGTTACTGCAGAGATGGCAGGTCTCCGTGTGGATGTGACCTTACGTGGAACAGTTGTCCTTGTGGATGGGAGTACATTAGGCATCCTGGTGGGGGGGGGCGGGTCTTCCTAGATCACTCACTAGGCTCTAAACGGAACTGCAAGGGCCTTTAGAATGGAGAAACAGTGGGATATTTGACACCAAAGGAAGAATTTGCCTGGGGTGGGGCGGTGGGGGGGGGGGTTTGACGACGCTTTGCTCCTGGCTTGAAGGAGGAGGAAGGGCCACAAAGGCAGAAATGCCGCTCTAGAAGCAGGTAAGGATGCGGATCTTCCCGGGAGCCTCTGGAGGGAGTGTGGCTCTGCTGGCCCCTTGCCAGAGACCGACCTCGGACTTCTGACCTCCAGAGCTCGGCAGAGGTGCCCGAGGCAGAGGCCAGGGGTCGCCCGGGGGATGCAGAGCCCGTGGCCTCCAGCACCCAACATCCTCCATGTGGGGTGGGAGCATCTGCTGGGGCCCAGCCTCTGTGGGGCTCCCGGTCCCCACCCCTTCCTTGCCTACGGGTCCCCATCCCCACCTCCACCTTGTTCTTGCTCGTGGTCCCGGGGGCGCCCTGAGCTCTGCACGGCCCCCTGGGGCCTGGATGGCAGGAGGCGGGTCCAGAGGGCCCTTCCTAGGCCCGGGGTTCCCCAGTGGCTCCAGCCAACCCCGGTCCGGGTTCAGCGTCCATGCTGAGCTTCTCAGCACCAGTGGGGAGTGTGTTGACTTCTTCTTGAAGAGCGATAGCTGGTGCCCGGTCCCCGCGGGGCAGAGCTCTGCAGGGGACACCCAAGTGCTTCGTCCTGCCCCAAGCCCAGCGTGTCGGGTTCTTGCTCCGGAATCCGTGAGCGCTCCGGGCAGCTGGGTGTGACTGGCAGGCTGGCAGCCGTGGAATGTGTAGGGAAACAGAGTCAGTGAGCTCTTCCAACCTGGCTCCCGGTGTGGGAGGGGCTGTGAGTGTGGGAAAGGGACTCGGGACCAGGGGCATGGCAGCAGGGCGGGCTGTCATTGGTGGTGGGGCCGACCAGGCGCTTGCTGCACTCCAGACCACAGACCAACCACCCCTTCACCCTCCACAGTCTTCTCAAGGGCCCAGGGGAGCTCCCCGTCTAGTTCACTCTTTCCTACCCAGGATGCTGTCCCTGGCTCCACTCGGTACATTTCCCCCAAGCTGTCGTCCCCAGGGGCTCTGGGATTGTTGTGGGTAACCCCCACCCCTTCCTGTTCTCCGGCTTCCCGGGAGCAAAGCCCTTCACTCTCCTTGACCGTGTCCACACAAGTGAGCCTCACACCCCAGTGCCCCCACTCTTGATCACTGGCATGACTTGGGGGCTGCGTCTGGCCTCCTCTCCCGCTGTGGTCCAAGCTGTACGTGGCCTGGCATCCTTTGGGTACGCGTGAGTAGCCTTGGCCCCGCGCAGATGGCTGTGTTTGCTGTCAGTCCCTCGAGGGAGGAGAGTTAGCAGACACCCCGGCTGGGCATCGGTCCCAACGTCCCCGACGCTTGTTTGGTGATGTTCCTGGATCCGGCGTGCAGGTCCACCTGACCTCCTCGGGCCTTGGCCTTCGCTTGCTTTCGGGGAGAGGCCCGAGGCCAGCCTAACGCCTCACCACTGCCAGGCCCCACCAGCGCGTCCTGTTTCTGAAGCTCTAGTCACAGTTCGTGGTGCCTTATACGCGACAAATGATAAAAAAGATCATTAATACAAAGTGAGCAGCCGTGTTTCATCTTTGATTTGGTTTCATGTTTGTCTTGTCATAACTTTCTTGCGTCTGCGTCCCTGCTGCCCTGGTGTTTCCTGCCCGCTGAGACCCTCCTCCGGCCCCGTGGGGCTGCGGCCCCTCCTGAGCTCCCTCTGGGCAGCTCGTCTCCCGGACGGGCGGCGCGGGGCTGTCTTCAGGTCTCGGCCCATCTCAGAGAGTTCTCGGCCTTGTCTCCCTGCGCACCCCCCTCCCTTTCCTTTGCCCTGGTCTTCATTTGCCTGAACCTTCTCAAGCGACGGGGAGAGCGCCTTGGAATCGCTTTGGCTTCTCTAAGTGGAGGCCGTTCTGTAGGACCGTTTCCCCCTTCGGGCAGGGCTTCTGGCTCAAAGAATGTGCCTGTGTCCAACTCGGCAGCTGCCGTTCATTCAAAATACTGTAAATTGCTGTTGAGTTTTCCTTAATTTTTGCCCAGCTGATGGTAGACAAATAGCTTGCCTTATTGCTTTAATTAGTGTTTCTCTGCTAGGGAGCTTAAGTGTATGTGTATTTTTATTGGCTATTTGAATTTTTTCTTCGGTGAATTGCTTCTCTGTAGTCTTTGTGCACTGCTTTGGGAGCTGGCCCGTGGTGTGGCCCCGAAGCAGAGTCCACAGGGAGGACTTTGTCGCAGCTGCGGGGCAGAGTGCCCACGCAGGAAGGGCAGCCGGGCAGCCTTTGCCATGTGCTCTGAGGGGATAGCCCAGCGCCCCAGCAGGGGGGAGCCCTTCCTTCCTGCCGGGCCGGAGCCCCTCCTTGTGCATCTTCTGGCGGTATCCCCGGGTGGCCCGTTGGCCCCACTCCCACCAGGAGGGCAGGCTTGGGAGCTTGCCCCCATTCTCACTCATGGAGGGGGGGGTCCTCCAGATTTTTCCTCTCCCTTGAGGAGAGGAGCCCCCCACCCGTCGGACCTGGAGCAGGCACTGTGACTGGGGCCCTGGTTGGGCCCCGGGGGGTCAGGGTGTTTGGGGGATGGTGGTGCAGTCACATCACTAGGAGGAGGCATGAGACAGAGTTTGCAGCCCGTGTGGTGTGGACCCAGTCGGGACTCATGCCTCCATCCCCCGCCCGCCAAGCACAGCCTCATGAGGACCACCCTCTCTTTTCTTAGATCGTGGGCTTTGGGTGAAGCCGCCCCCACCCCTGACTCTAGGGAAGACACGTGACTCAGGCCTGGCCGCTGAGAAGCATAAAAGCATCACCTCTCTCCATTTGGAGATGAACACAGGTGGGGCCAGGACCTGGGCAGGCCTGTGGGCTGCAGTGCGGAGGCCTCTGCAGGGACTTTGGAGAGAAGTATGAGCTCGTTACGCTGTATCTCAAGGAAGGGGGCGGTGGTCCGTGGCTGCTGGCAGCCATGTGGGCATCTGGAGAATGGAGCCAACAAGGAAAGAAAGAAAAGAGGCAAGAGACAGAGAAATAGGGCTCTTCTGCCCCTTGATACAGCCATGCCTGCAAGCAGTCCTGCCTCAGCCCCTTTCATGTGTAAGAGCCAACACAGTCCAGGTACTGCTGAAGTGTGCGTAAGATTTTCTGTTATTTCAAGCCAAGAGTCCTAATGGATGCATGTTCGCACACTTGAAAGGGTGAGACTGTAATGAACATGTTCCTTGTCACTTGGCAACAGTTTGTGGGTGAGTTCTGTGGGCATCAGCTTTGGGGAGGCCTCTGGCTCCTTCTGCTCACATGCTCTGATTAGGGAAGATGGTTTGTCTTTTCCTTTGCTCATTTCTGCAGCCCAGAAGAAACGACCCCTGGACAAGTTTGACTGGCCCAGCAGTCATCTTTTAAAAGGAACATCCTTTATTGTGCAAGGGGGGACCACAGCATGGGGCTGGGTGGGGTGCATGGCCACGGAGCCTGGCCGGGCAGGGAGCAGGGACAGGGCCGGACAGGGCCGCACCCAGAAGTGAGGGTGGGTGTTCTTGGTGGAATCCCTGGAGGGTTTGCGGAGGGGAGAGGGGGAGCTGAGCAGAGAGCCCCGAACCCGCAGGTCTGAGTCCCCATGCAGGCGAGACCCCTCTTGGCCCTGCGCACAGGGGCGGGGATCGGGGAAGGGACAGCACAGGAGGTAGGGGGCAGGCCTGGGCTCTGAAAGGCGGCTCAGGGGCTGTGGTGGGGGCTCCATCCATCTCCCAGGCTCCCCCTGTAGCTCAGGCCGTGGACAAGCCTACGGGCCCAGCTCTAGGGCGGCACCACTCACCTGTGCGGGGCCAACGGCCCTAGTCTCTGAAACTCTGGCAGTGATCTGAGGGGACACAGTGATCTGGAGTAAGCCCCCCCCGCTGGGTGGCCACTGACCCGAGGGGACCTGAGGGTGTGGGAGAGCAGTGGGCCTCACCGTCAGTGTCCAGAGCCACAGTCTGCTCCTTGAGCAGGCCGAGGTCTTCACAGATGGACTCGAATGCCTGCAGGAAGTCCTTCTGTGTGCTGGGGTCCCGGACTGTGGGGGACACAGGAGGTGGGGCCTGCCTGGTGCCGTGGGGGGTAGGGGGCAGGGTCCTGGGGGCATCGGATGCTGTGGGGGTGTCAGGGTGCCATGCTCTCTGGGACCGAGAGCATGGTGGGAAATCGGGGCTGGCGTGGGGAGAAGAGAGAGACCCCTCTTTCCCTTGGGATGACCTAGAAGGTGGTGACTGTCCCTTCTTCCCCTTGCCCAAAGCAGCGTGGAGGTTGAGCCCTGGTCCCGGGATGGTCCTGGTGAGAGGGCCGTGTGAGCGAGTGTGTGCAGATGTGAGCGGGGCCTGGGGCCGCGGTGGGTGAGGCTGAGCAGGAGCGTGGCTGTGGCCGGAGCCTTCAGCCAGGGTCTGGTCCCTGACCTCCCCAGACCCGTTTAGCCCTCTGCTGCTGGGGGGGCAACAGGCCCCTCTCCCCACATGCTGGCTAGACCTGCGTCCTGCCTGTGAGGGTGGTTCTGGGGCCTCGTTTCCTGGAGGAGACCCTATGTACCCATCAGGTTGGCTACCAGGCTGGTCACATCATTGTACTGGTTGATCATGTAGAGAATCAGGTAGGTCTTGGGCTGTACCTCCTCCAGGTAGAAATCACTGTGTCCCCAAACTGTGGAGGACACTGGGGAGATGCAGGCTGGGAGATGGGTGGCTGCCCGGTGGGGTGACTGCAGGCCCACCTGGGGGGGGACACCTGTCCACTTTCTGCGCACAGGGCCAGTGCACCGCATCCTGCCCAGCATCGTGGGGACCTGGGTGCGGGAGTGGGCTCTGTCCCCTGCGAGCCGGGCTGGGGGCCCGAGTCCCGATGCCTGCACACCCCTTAGGCATGGAGCTGCCAGCTCCTTGCCACGGGGCTCTAAGCCCAAGAGCCAACCGCTGAGTGGGGCCATGCCCTCAGCAGAACTGTTGCCCACACACACTTACTCTCCAGGCTGAATTTGTTGTTGTCAGTCTTGAACGCTGTTGAGGGAGACTTTCTCACACCGGCCTTCCTGCCTGCAGACAGAAGCAGGCGGGTTTACTCTGTCTGCCTGCCCCTTTCCGCGTTTTAAATGAAAGTATAATTTGCCCACAGTGACAGTCACTGCTTTCCGTGTGGGCTTCTAGGAGTTTGGCAAATGCATCCATTCGATCGCCTTGAAGGTGACCTTGGTCCTCCTTGCTCCTGGGCTGCACCTCCAGGCTCTGGCCTCCTTGGATGCCTGGATGCTGCGTTAGCAGCAGCAGCTGGGGGAATGCGCCAGTGACCGCAGGAGCCCCCCCCCCCCCAGCGTGCACACACACCCGTCCCGACCTGCACAAGCCCCGGTCCCAGTGCTTGGGACCCCGTGCCTAGAGGGGGCAGCATCGTGGCCCGGGCCACACAGCGCAAGGGGTCTGGAATCAGACCTCTGATGCTTCCCCTGTGGAGCAGTGTCCCCGCGCCCTCCCTGGGGCTGGCCCAGTCCACCCAGCTCCTGCGCCGCGCCCGAAGCCCCTGGCGCCCTGCACCCACGGAATGAGGGTCTCCCCATGCGGGTTGCCATCCTTCGCGCTAATGGTGTTGATGAAGTGCCCGCCGGGCCTGATCAGAGCCGAGTTGTTGGAGGCCAGGGCGGCGGGGTGCCAGATTCCAGACAGCTGTGGGGCCGCAAGAAGACAGGGTGAGGCCTGGACCCTGCCCTCCTCGGGTGCCCCACCTCCGTGCCCGGCGCCCGCTCCCATGGCGCCCAGGAAGGTCCTGTGATGCTGGTGCGGCCGGCGGATTCAAGGACAGTCCCTGTGTGCGGCACTGGCCCCTTCTCAGGCCAGGGGAGCAGCCAGCATGTCCAGGCTTCTGGCCTCATGGACCCTGTGCCCTGCACTTGCCCCCTCAGCCCCAGGGGATGCTTCGCTCCCTTCTGGACTGAGCTCGGGGCGCCTTCCAAGACCATGGCAAGCACTCCAGCCCCCAACGCTGCCTTTGGACTCCCGCCCGGGGCCCCCACCATGGACTTGCCCTGCGGCTCATTTACAAGTCACCAAGAGTGGTGTCTAGGCTCCGGCCCTGGGCTCTGACCCTCCGGTCTAGGCTCCTGAGCCTTGGGCTGGGTCTGTCTGTGGTCTGCCAAGGGCGGTGGCACCCAGCGGCGTGGGACAGGGCTGACCCTGGAGCATAGGCCTCTCAACCTGCTTCCTTGCACAGACTCAGATGGGGGGCATCTGGCTGCCTGGGGCCACGATTCTAACCGCAGTCCTGCTCCCTGGACAACCCCCAGAAGGCCTCTGCCTCAGCCAGGGGCAGGCCACCCACCATCCACGACGCTCGCTCAGGGTTTGACCCTCCAGCCCCCGGCCTCCTGGGACCCCTGTGCTCACCTCCTGCAGCCTCTCCTGGGGCTCCGCCTAGCTGTCCTCCTGAGCTGGAGGCCACAGACCGGTGCCAGGCCTACGGTCAGCAGTAGGAGCTGCATGTCCGTGGCACTGTCTATCTGGGTTTGGAGACAGCTGGGGACTTGCAGGCTCTGGTGACCGGGCCCCGCGGCCTGTCCATATAGCCGCGTGGTTGGGGCCGAGGTCACGTAGCAAGAGCTCTTGCCCCGTCCCTGCAGGGCAAGTGGAGACTCTTAATGCTCATGTCTTAACTTTGATCTTAACGTTAGCCAGCTTTTGTGTATTCTCTTCTCCGTTGCTTTGGACCCCAAAAATGTCATGTTCCCATACAGCCAATTTCCAAAATCAACAACCAGCGCTGGGCTGGGCCAACTTCCTGGGCCGAAGGGTGCTGGAGTCACCTTGGCGTACCCTCCGCGCCGCCACATTGCCAGGGCGCAGCTGGCGAACAGGGGCTGTGAGCAGGGACACCCCGGGGTTGAGCCGTGGGGTGCAGGAACCAAGGGTGCCCCTGTTCCTATGGGTCCTGCAGGTCCCCAGGAACCCGCAGCCTCCTGCAGGCCGAGGACAGTGACTGAAGTCTGTCAGGGCTTGAATTGTGATCCCCCCCAGATATGTATGTGGAGGTCCTAACCCCCAGGACCTCAGAATGTGACCTTATTTGAAACTAGCATCATTACAGATGTTATGAGTTCAGATGACATCATGCTTGGAATGGGGCCCTGACCCAGGGTGACTGGTGTCCTTGTGAACCGGGGGTAATGGGGCACGAGATTTGCACAAAGAGAAGCCGAGCGAAGACTGGGGATTTGCTGCCCCCAGGAGCGGAGAGAGGCCCGGGACAGATCCTTCAGTGGGAATTGCCAGGCCCACACCTCAGTCCCAGGCTTCTGGCCTCCCAACTGGGAGAGAGGAAATCTCTTTTGTTTAAACTCCCGTGTGTAGCACTTTGTTCCTGCCCACCGCCCCCCCCACCCCAGCACCTGACCAGCAGTGCCCCCTGCTCCCAGAGCCCACGGTCCTGTAGCCGCTGTCCTGTCCCTTCTGCCCAGACCTGAGGACTGGGAGGGACTGTGCAGCGTTTTTCCCTAGGGAGCCCCCTGCCCAGCCTTCCTGACTGGGTTGCAGAGAGTCACAGGGCCTGGGTTCTGCTCCAGCACTCAGGACAGCCCCGCCCCTGCCCCCAGAGCTGGGCTGAGAAGGTCCCATGATGAAGCAGGCCTGCCTCTCCCAGGGTCAGGATCCCATGGTGACCACTGACCCGCGAGTTTGGCTCATCCCCCCACGGCTGTCACCGCTGATCTCCCAACATTGCCATGAGCTGCGTGTTCATCCCTAGTGATGGCAGCTGGGTAGGTGATAGAGTCAGGAGTGCAGACCGTCTGGGGGGCTGCTGGGGGTCAAACAACGTCCCCCCAAAAGATACGTGGAAGTCCTAACCCCCGGGATCTCAGAATGTGACCTTATTTGGGAATGTGGCCTTTGCAGATGTAATGAAGATGAGGTCATGCTGGGGTAGGGTGGACTGTAAATGCAATGCGCCAGGTGTCTGTGCAGGAAGAGGGACCCGGACACAGGCGCGTCGTGGGGAGGCAGACGGAGGAGGGAGGCGTCGACCAGCCCAGGATCGCCGGCATCTGCAGAGGCTGGGAGACGCCTGGGGTGGGTCCTCCAAAAGAGCCGCCCGAAGGAGCCATCACCACTGGTCTTGATGGGGGACTTCTGGCTTCCACAACCGCGAGAGAACGGGCTTCTCAGCCGCCCAGTCCGTGGGAGCTGGTTACAGCCGGCCCAGCTCTGCACATGTCCACAGCGCCGCCCGCAGAGCTGAGGGCTCCAGAAGGTGCTCTCTCGGTCCCCCCACGGGCGCCGCGCCGTGCACAGAAGGGGAGCCCAGCCTGAGCTCACGCGCCTCCTCAGTGGCAAGATCTTCCGCTCTTGGTTCACATCGGCGGTGAAAACCTTGCAGGCAGACATCAGAAGGAATTATTGGCTTTCTTAATCTTCACAAATTCCAGAAACTATAGGTGCGCATTCCTTTGTTTTGGCCAGATTTGCGGAGCGCCTGTGTTTGCCTGCAGGAAACCCCGCCGACTGGAGGCCTGCACCTGCCGCTTGGGGTCGGACACATCAGGACGCGATGGGGGGGGCGTTACAAATGCTGCATTCTATGGAGGGGACTATACGAGGAAGACACAAAGTTGGGGAGCCTTTCCGGGTCTGTGTTGAAAGGGAAAGTCCACCTGAGAATGTGACCTGTGAGCAGAGGGAGGAGCAAAGCGGGGAAGGGTTGAGGGCAGGGGGAGGGCAGGGCAGGCGCAGTGAGCCCTGGGGGCCGGGCCAGGGCAGCAGGAGCGAGGTCCGAGGGCTCCCCCTGGCCCCCGCAGCGAGGCGGGAGCAGAGTGCGGACACGACCCAGTGAGCTCTCACTTGGCCTTCGTCCTCGAAGGACCGGATTAGAGTCCTGGTTTATGTTTGTTTTTTTCTCCCAGCCTTTGTTGGTGCTGGTCCGTGTTCTGTGTCCCGCATCGTTTCTGATGAGACGTCACTGCTCCCCGATTGTTTTGGGTTCCCAACGAGTCATGCGAGACAGGTGTTTGTTAGCAGGTGTACCTAGGGGCACTTTCTCTGTGCTGCTTCTGCCGAGGGTTCTGGGGTTCTAGAATCGACCAATTCACATCTTTTGCCAAATTTGGGATTTGTTTTTCCACCCATTATTTCTTTAAATGTGTCCCCCACGTCCTTCCCTTCTCTACCTTGGAACTCCAGTGAAATATCGGGCCTTCAGTATCGTCACACAGATTGCTGATGTGCTGCTCATTCCACAACCTCCCCCCCCATCTTTCTCCTCTGGTTTTTAGACGGGACAGTTTCTACAGCTCTGTCTTCAAGTTCACCGACTTCTTATGTCTCCACGCTACCGTCCAGGGAGTTTCTAATCTGATGTGTGTACAGTGAGTTCTGGGATTTCTGTTTGTTTCCTCTTAGAGCTGTTACTTCTCTCTGAGCTGTCCCTTGTTTTCGTTCCTTAGGAGCGTATTTTCCCTTTAAGTCCTTGAACACGAATCTTTGCCACAGTTGCTTAAATGTCTGGTCTGGTTGCTCCGGCACCTGCTTTCTGAGCATGGGCTTGCCCTTTGTGTATTTGCTGCTTTGGGATTGTACCCGGGACGCCATGAATGGTGTGATGTAGATTCTGGATCCTATCTTGTTCCTCTCGAGAGTTTTCAGCCGTCAGTGTCCTTGGCTGGATTCAGACTTTGAGCAGTGTGTTTGCTGCGACAGAAACGTCCCTTCCTTCCTCCCAGGCCTGCTGGCTGCACGGTCTGTCCCGGGCATGCAGAGAGGCGCCCGGGGCTCAAGTGCGGGTTCAGAGCTCACCCTCCTTCCCAGGACACCCCTGTCCGTGCTCGTGGCTCGGGCTGCCTCCAACTTTGTTCCCAGGTTCTTCAAGCCAGAAGATTGGGAGTTTGTGTCTGCGTGTTGGCCACCCAGCCTCAGCTGAGTGGGGCCTGTGCTCACACAGAAAGCTGTTAAAAAAAAAAAAAAAGAAAAGCAAAGAAGGAAAAGAGCCATATGGCACCTCATCCAGTACTCTGTCTCCTTCCAACATGGTCACTGTCCCGTGCCTTTAGATGGTTGTTGGTGTCTTACCCAGACTAGTTATTACCTCTGTGTGTGGTGGGGCTGGTCCCATTGCCGCCGCCCCACGTTACCGGAAGCAGGACACAGACTCCCCGTCTTAACAGGGACGCTGTAGCCAGTGGACGGAGAGGACACACGGGGTGACCAGCCGGGGGGCCCTGTGAGAGTCCAGGCGTGAGGAGGGGCTGGCCAGCACGGGGGAGCCTTGGAGCAGGTGGTGAGAGGTGGGGTTCTGTTTTGAGGAGTCAGAGACCTGCTGGGGGATTGGCGGAGGGGTATGGGAGCAGGAGGCCAGAGGATGATGCTGACCTACTGTCCTGAGCAACTGGATGGTTGGGGTTTGGGGGAACCTGGGAGTTCCGTTCCAGATGCCTCGAGCAGAAGGGGCCTTGTCGGCATCAGCACGCGTTTGGGGCTGGCAAGTGCTCGGCACTGCTGGGTCCATTGGCCTGGCCCCGGGTCCCAGCATCACGTCCCATGAGAGATGAACCTCCAGTGTGGCCACTTCCCCGCAGGGAGGCCCGGGCAAGCCCTGCATGGGGCTCTGACTTTCCGAGCACCATGTCCATCTCATGGGGCTTCTGGAGAAAGAATGGAATGGACTAATGTCCAGGACAGCGCAGGGGAGAGCCAGGCCCCTGTCCCTCCCCACAGCTCGGGGAGCCCCTGACCCTCAGCCTCCCGGGACGTGGGACTGTGGTGGCCAGAATCTACTGCCGGCCCGCGAACACCCGAGCCTGCCCCCCTTCCTCCTCTTGCCAGGAGGTGGATGCCCCCAGGTTCAGTCCGTCTGAGGACAAAGTCATGATGGACAGCCTCGTGTCAGGCCGAGGGGTCTGACCAGTGCAGCCGGGAGCTGGTCCTCTGAGAGCCCCTCTTCCCCCAGCGTTCCTGGCAACGTCTCAGCCCCTGCCGGGGACAGCCACCCATTGTGGCCTCAGTGACGCTGCTCGGAAGGAGCCTGTAGCCACGGCGACTTTGAAGGATGCTCATGTGTCATGGGGCCTGGCTGCCAGGGGCAGAAGCCCCCTGAGAGGAGCAGGGACCAGCTTGTCTGAGGACGGAAGGGAGCGAGGTGAAGTGGCGGCGCTGTCCGAGTCCCCAGGCCCGTGTGGCCTGTCGTGTGGCCGCTCATGGGACCCCGAGCTCTGTTTCCTGCACCCAGGCTGGAGGCAAGGGCGCCGAGGGCAGCTCCAGGCTCGTGTGTGTGTCCTGGGCTGGAGTCTGCTGGGGGGAGGGGGCGTGGACAGGGTAGGTGCGGGAGTGTCCAGCCAACGCATCCCTTGCCGGGCCCCTCGCCATGGTCTTCCCTGCCCAAGGCCATGCAGGACCCCAGTTAAACCGCAGCTTCTGACTGACCACAAACCGTATTTCAGTGTGGCCGGCCGCTGGGGCGTCCAGTGGTGTGCTGACAGGTGGTCCTGTCCCAGGGGCC